CTTTTCACGGCCCGCGAGGCCGGCCCGACACTCCCGCCTGGGGGCCCAGCCTCGGCCGCGTGCCGCCTCCACCGACCTCAGCCTTCCTCCCGGCCCCACTCCGCCGCGGTCAGCTTTCCCGGTCGGCGCCCTCCGCGCGGCCGGAGCTCCCCGGCGCCCCTCGCCACTTCTGACTCGGTCTTCTCCACGCCCTCCGCCGCGCTTTCGGAATCCAGTTTTGCCCTGTTGTTGCCCCCCACATCACTCGCCATTCTACCGCGGCGTTTTTTTCTCTCACCCCCCATTCATCCCTATTCCGTAAGAGTGACTGAGGATGGCCGTAACCGTTGGTGAGGCTCTTTGATGTGCGCACAGCCCTCCACGCAGGGTGGGCTCATTGGTCCTCACGGCCACCCCTTGGAGTGGTGGCTCGTCTCGTTTGCAGGCCACAGACCAGAGGCGTCTTTAAGTTACTCGCCCATTTTACAGGTGAGAGAACCACCTCGTAGAGACTGAGTCCACCGAGCTCTCCAGGGTTGCATGGTGCCCCCGGGAAGTGGCCCAGCCCCACGGCCAAGCTTGACGGGTATTCTCGTCTGCTCGTGCCCTAGCACTCCCAGTGACCGACCTTCCCCCGGGCCGCGTTTGTCTATGGAATTCGTTAATTAAAAGTTGATGAAAGTGATGAGGAATAGTCTTTTCTTTGTCAGTAGTTTTTGAGGGGGTGGTGGTGAAGGTATTGTGTTTTCTTTATATTTGGTACTTTTTTATTTTTTTATTTTTCTGAATGGGAAAGATGTCATTTTAGGAGTTCAGTTCCCGTTCTGAAGTGTGCCTTTGTCAGCATTTGAAAATGAAAAAGCAATGTAGATTATGAGGACTCTGTAGTAATATGCCTAGCACTCAAGTTGAAATTGTATAAGGAAGTAGGTATAGTTATTCAAGGTTTTAGAAGAAAATAATTGACTTTCAGATCCCTGCTTTGGCAGAAATTAAACTTTTATTTCAGAGGGAAATTTCAGATTCTATTTAAGCCATAAGTAATGTAATTGGTGATCACAGTGTGAGGGTTTTTCAGTATTAAGTGCAAAGGAATGTTCCTTAGTCTCTTATTAGTCTTGTGGAGTGTTTCTTACCATTTATGAGAAGTTATGTGCCGCTTTAATGGCAGAAGTTGGGGTCAGGTTTTGTATTTTTATCATGAATGTACTTTATGGTGTGTCTGTCATAGTTCCTGGTAAATAAATGAACATAAAAGGTATAGAGATGGTTCATTTATTGGACTGACACTTATCATGTGCCCTGTGACAGTTACTGACCTAGGTGCTGGCAGTAGAATCCTGAACCTTTCTCATCGAGGGGTGCCATTCTAATTAACATTAATCTCAATTCTAAACTAAAACCACATCAAACGAGGAAATCGGCCTGCAAGTGTGAAGTGATCATTTGGTGGTTGGCAGAGCCTGGACTAAAATCTGTGTCTTCTCACTCACAGTGTATTTAATTTGCCTTGCAAATAGCAGGAGCATCTTTCCATTCCTTGCCTCTAGTTTAAGTAATTGCTGGAAGGTGGCATGGTTAAGGGTGCTGGCCTCCCACATGGTTGACTGCGGTTTTAATCCTGGACCTGGTGGCTTGCTTTCTCTCTCTCTGTCCCTCTCTGGTCAAAATAAAAATAACATAATAAATAAAGTTAAATAAAAGAATTTCTTAAAAAAAGTGTTGACAATCTTTTCCTCACCATTGAAAGGACAGCATATCTAGATAGAGTACTTCAAGAAAAATACATTTGTATTTCCATAGTCTTGAGAAAATTCTTTTTTGTTTTCCTATTCATGCAGGTACGTTTTTCTTTTGCAATAGATGGCAAATTCAGAGATCCAGTTGCCATCCATGTATTCGTTTATGGTTGTAGGCCATTAAAATAACTTTTAGTCACATTCGTACAGGTCATTTAACTAGTGCCTTTGTTTATCTGTTAGTACTTAGTGACAAGACAAAGTACTTTTGCAGTCTAACTTTCCTCATATTTAAGATGGGATTAAAAATACCCCTGTACTCACTCACTAGCTGCCTTTTAAGTATGTTATTTTTCTGTGCTATAAGTTTCCCCTATAAAAATTATATCAAAGGTTAATGCAGGTAATGTGCATGCAACTGTGCTTAGTATATAGGAAGTACCCAGTGTTCCTTGTCACTGTTAAAACAGTAATGTGGTACAGCAATACACTGAAGGGAGCTATTTATCTATTGGTGGGTAAAGATTATAATATAAAAGTAAATAAGTAAGAGGTTTTTTTTTTTTTTTTGGGAGATTTTTTGCTATAGGGCTCTTGCACTGGCCAGAGAAAGAAAGTGGGCAATCACCACCACCCTAACCCTGGGGATAGCCAGACTATAATCCCTTTTCCATTCTCTTCTTGGGATCTTGGGGCACACATACGCCTAGGGTGAGTTTTAAGTCTCTGGGTCTGGGACTTGAACCGTGGTCGACTAAGTGGGAGTTGAACGACATAACCATTATACCATCTGCTAGTCTCACAAATGAGATTTTTTTAATAGCATTTATCATAATTGAAAAATGTAAATTGAGTAATGAACCAGGGAGGGTCTGAGAGAAGCTAGAGGTGGGAAAGCAGTTTGAAGTTATGTTTAAGCTGAAACTGAATCATGAGAAGGAACCAGCTATGTAAAAATCTGAGGAAGGACATTTCAGGCAAAGGGAACAAATGCAGAGGCTTCAAAGTGATGAAATATTTGATGATCAGAAAGACTAGAGCTATGGGAAGTCAACAAGGGCTAGGCTATATAGCGCCTATAATATAATCACAGTCATAATAGTAGCTGACACGCTTACTGATACTACTACACTCTAAAACCAGTATTACTGTGCTAATGCCATAGCAACAATAATAATAGCTAATAAATTATATAGCATTTATATGCTAGGTGCTGTTCCAAATACTTTTTCAGCTCATTTAATGCTGCAGGTTCTGGTGGTGGTCTTGATTAAGCAAGGTATATAAGGAACTCAGGACATTCACATAACTGACAAAAAATTGGCAATTTTAGGTTGTCGAAGGAGGAAATTGTGTGACTATTTAAACTGTTTTAGCTGTAGACGTTTGGACACCATCTAGATAATTGACAACAAATTGTCTCTTACAGGTAAAACTGCGGGTTTTGTGGAGAAATGAAAGTAATGATAGGCAATAGTGGCTTACTAGGTCCTATCCTAAATGTTTCATGGAGATTATCTCATATTTTTTGGCCATTTACATCTAAGGAAATTCAGACTCAGATTATGTAATTGGCCTGATAACAGAAGAAAGAGAGCCCTTCAGTGACTTTTTTGTGATTCTAGCCTAAACTCTTCAAACTGTAACTAGGAAGTATGAAATTTTTCAAAGAAAGAAGTTTTGAAAAAAGGAAAGGTGAACCAAAAGGAAATAAGATAAAGCTACTTTATTAACTGAAGACTCAAATGACACTTTTCTTGGTGATTAGTTTTTTTTTCTGCCCTGTAGGTTAAGACATTTTGTCTGTGACAGTGGCCAGCTGACTGTGTTTTGTGGGATGTTTATCATTAAAAAAGACCTAATTATAGGACCAGCAGTTGGCGTACTGGCGTTGTCACTGGACTCTCATGTAGTCGACTGTGATTCAAGTCCCATACCCAGTGGCTTAAACTCACTCCGGGCCCATGTGTGTGCATGCCCAAGATCTGAAGAAGAGAATGGAGGAGAAGAGATTGCAGTGTGGCCATGGAGGGAGGGGGGGATTTCTTGCTGTCTCTGTCTTTCTGCTGAGCGCATGCGCCTTATAGCAAAACCTCTCAAAAAAAAAAAAAAACTAATTGTTTTTATAACAGTCTATATTTCCTTTGTAGTCACTGTTTTAATTGATGTTTTCTAACCTTTGGGTCATAGGATCATTTGCAAATTTGTCTAAATGTACTTAGTACAGTAGTTAAGGGCTTGTTTTCAATCTTAATGTTCTCCTGAAAAGCATTCGGTTGTCAGGAAAGACATGATGTATTTTTCTACTGTTTTCTATGCAAAAATGCGTTAAAGAAACATTTGTTCTTTATTAGGATTTTTGTGTATCAGGATTGAACTGCCTTGTGGAAAATTTAGGGAAAGTTCAAAGGGTAGGAGTAATTGGAAGGAGAGGGTTGAAAAATGTAGGGAAGAGCCTTGTGAGGAAAGAACATTAGAATGATTATTTTCTTTTAAAAAATATTTAATTCCATTTGTTAACATCATTATTTTTCAATTTGACCAGAGAGAAACAGAGAAAGGGAAAGTGAAAAAGCAAGCCACCAGGTCCAGGACTCAAACCGGGGTTGGCATCGTGGGAATACCGGCCCCTTTAACCATGACATCACCTTCTGGCCCCTAGAATGATTATTTTTAAATACATGTAAAGAGTGTAATTGTTAATCCTCTCTTGAGAACAGAAATGTAGATTTCACTTATAATGTAGAGATTTAGTAGCTCCTAGGTAGACCATGATAGATGCTCAGTAAATTGTGGCATATTGTAGTAAAAATAATTTTTATTGGATTCTACATATTCTACATGTAAGATTGCTTAGGTCCAGTAGTACCTGGATATTCATTAGTTAATGCAACAGATATTGAGCCCCACCAAGTACGGATGGAAGAATATGCTGAGAAATGAATGAACAGAAGCCCTACTCTAAAGGGACTTACATGACACCATGGTGCTTAAGAGCTACTTGTTTGCTTTTGAATCCTGGCTTTTCCACTAAACAGCTATATGGCCTTGGGCAAGTTATTTAACTGCTGTATGCTTTAGTTCTTCATCTGTAAAATGAGGTAAGTAATAGTATTTGTATCACAGGGTTGTTATGATGAAATGGCTTAATGTTTGAAAAGACCCTAGAGCACTGCTTAGCACCTAGTAAGCACTTTTTGTGTGTGTGTGTGTGTGTGTGTGTGTGTGTGTGAAGTTTTTGCTATAGGGGGCGAGGGCTTGTTAGAAGAACAAGAGACAGAGAGAAAGAAAGCAAGAAATCAGCCCCCAGGGGGGCTGGTGTCGCGACAATCCCTTCTCCTCCAATCACCTCTCGGGATCCTGGGCATGCATGCACGGCGCGCCTGGCATGAGTTTTAAGTCACTGCGTCCAGTTATCGAACTGTGTTTGACTATATGGGACTCCAGTGACATAGCCACTATGCCAACTGCTGCTCCCAGTAAGCACTTTTAAGGATAAAAAATTTTAGTAATTTTTTTATAGAAACACTTGATGGAACAGATAGATGATACCATCTTGTGTTATTTGATTAAATGCTATGGAGAAAATACACAAGGGTGTTTAGAGAGTGAGGTGGTAGGGCAGAGTACAGTATAGGATAGAGTTTTCCTTTTAGAGTATACTGGTGATTTCTGTCCTGTTCTTTTTTCTTTCCTTTCTGTTCCTTTTTTTTTATTTGAGAGAGAAAGATTTCTGCTATAGGGCATGTGTGCTTGCCAGAGAGACAGACAAAAAGCAAGAAATTTCCTCCGGGGGGGATGGCCATGCTGCAATCCCTTCTCCTCCGTTCTCCTCTCAGGATTTTGGGCACGAATGCACATGTGCCCAGTGTGAGTTGAAAGTCGCCGGATCTGGGACTTGAACCACACAGTCAACTGTGTGGGAGTCCAGCAGCATAACCATTATGCCATTTGCTGGTCCTTTTTTTCTTTTTAATTTGCTAGAGGTGTGCACTTGAGAGAAAGAAAATGGGAAAGCACCTTCCATGGGCGAATGGTTATGTTACAATCCCTTCTTCATTTCATCCTTATTTCAGGATTTGGGGCATGCGTGTACATGCTCCTATCGTGTTTCTCAAGCCAATGTCTGGGACTTGAAACATGGGACTGAACATGTGGGATCCAGCTGCTGTAACTATAGGGTGGCCCAAGAATTCTTAAACTACTCCCATCCCCTCCCCTTCAAAATGGGAGCTAAAGAGAACATTTCATATATTTATATGTTGTTTCTAAAGTAGTGGTAACCATAATTAGTATAGAAATTCAGAACAAGAATTTAGATGGTGATAGAAAAGTATACATGTAAAAACAAGCATTAAATAAGGTAGTTCTTATCTACCTCTATCATTGTATGTGGAAGTAATTTGAAATTTACATAAAATGATATGAATAAAGAGAACACTTAGTGTTAATGTTTTATTTCTTCTGTTCTATTATTTGTACGCATACACTCTGTTAATCCAGTCATTTAAGGGTAAGATACATATACTTATAGCCTTTTACCTCTAAATACTTCACTCTGTTTTCCTTCCCTCTCCAAAGATTTTTGCTATAGTGCGTGTGCGCTTGCTGGAGAGACAGAAAGCGAGAAATCACCCCCCGGGGGGGGGGGGGGGAGAGATGGCCATGCTGCAATCCCTTCTCCGTTCTCCTCTTGGGATCTTGGGCACGCACGCACACGCACCTGATGTGAATTTAAGCTACCGGGTCTGGGCCTCGAACCGTGGTCGACTACATGGGAGTTCAGCGACATAGCCATTATGCCAACTGCTGGTCCCTGTCTTTTCTAATAATAGAGATATTCTTTTACTTAACACAGCCGAGTTAGCAGCTTCATAAATTTATAACAGTATCTTTACTTTATTATCTATATTCCAGTATTGTCAGTCCATCCAGTAATGTCCTTTATAGTACTTTGTACAGAATCCAGTCTAGAATTAGTATTGTATTGTCATGGGTTTTTTTAAGCCTTCTTTAATTTGAATCATTTTTGCAGCTTTCCTTTGTCTTTTATGTATATAACATTGACATCTGGAGCATAACTCCCCTCTTTATAAAACATTACGGATTTTGTGTTTGTCCATTGTTTCCTCATTGTTATCGTGAGGTGTGCATATGGCTGGAATGGGTGATGTTGTGTCCCTTCAATCTTATTGCCCATCTATTTTTAGATGATAGTGATTTTTTTTTTAAATAATTATTTAAGTTTATTCTTATTTTTAAAAGTTTGTTTTAGGGCATGTGTGCTCACCTGAGAGAGAGAGAAACAGAGAGGGATGAGGCGAGTGAGAAAGAAAGCTTCCAGGCCTGGGACTCAAACCACAGTTGGCCATGTGATAGTCCAGCATCTTAACCACTGTATCCCCCTGGCTACAGATGATAGTAATTTTGATGACTTGGCCATGGTATTGCCCAGTTTCCCTGTAGTATAGTGTTTGACTGTCATTCTTTGGCAACTCTTCAGCAGTGTATTATAGGTCTTAAAATGCCTTTTAAGACCATCCAGATTTCCTCATCATCCAAATTCCACTCTAGATTCAGCATTCATCAGTCTTAACTGATTTAGTTTTTACTGTGATGGTTGCAAAATGATGACTTTCCAACTCCATTCGAACTTAAGGGCCTTTTAAATTTGATGTAATTAGAGATCAACAGCTACATTTTTGTAACTTGAAGAAAAAATTTATTTATTGCCTTTCTATACAGGATGGCTCAACAGCAGGCCTTGAGGTTCCGAGGCCCAGCTCCCCCACCAAATGCAGTGATGCGAGGCCCACCACCTCTCATGCGACCTCCTCCACCCTTCGGAATGATGCGTGGCCCTCCTCCACCACCTCGGCCCCCCTTTGGACGTCCTCCATTTGATCCAAATATGCCGCCAATGCCTCCTCCTGGAGGGATACCTCCACCAATGGGCCCCCCACATCTCCAGGTAATGAATGTAGAGGTTTCCATTTCTTTGTTGGCATCAGTGTCAGTATGATATATGGGTTTTACCTTAAACACTTTTTTTTAATTAGAGATTTTTGTTATAGGGTGTGTGCACTTGCCAGAGAGACAGAAAGCGAGAAATCATCCTGGGGGTGGCCCCCAGGGGGATGGCCCTGCTGCAATCCCTTCTCTTTTATTCTCCTCTTGGGATTTTGGGCACGCACACATATGCACCCAGTGTAAGTTTTAAGCTGCCAGGTCTGGGACTCTAACAAAGGTCAACTCTGGAAATCTAGGGCTGTAACCTTTATGCCACCTGCTGGTCTCTAAGTAGGGGGTTTTTACCTACCTCTATTTTTGAGAATTATCTTTAGAATCCATCTTCTATGTGGGAAGGAAGTTTATAATCTTGAGGTATTGAATAAAAGAATTTAATTGATCGAAGGTTCATGTGTGTGTGTGTGTGTGTGTGTGTGTGTAAGAGAGAGAGAGAGAGAGACAGCATGCCCCGGCACACCCACCATGAGGTTGCAGTGTTCTCCATTTCTCTGTCCTCTTGGGATTTGGGGCATGCGTGTACACGTGACGAACGTTGAGCCACCAGCATAGGACTCAAATCACCATCAGTCATGCGAGATCTAGCTTCTGGCCTGGAAATTTATTTTAATAATGTTTGTTGCTGGAAAGTGTAAAAATGTATGTATATGTAAAGTCTTTGGAAAGTTCGTGGAGAATGTGTATTATGAAAAAGGTATGCATAGATTTCAAAATTTTTTTGCTTTTTACACTGATTTTTTTGACGTTTCCTTGTGTGTGTATATTTCTGAGTAATTCTTCTCCCCAGAAAAGATGACTGAGATGGAATCTGGAAAAGTGCCAACAGATCCAGTTTATAAGCATAATATTTGAATTTTTTTCTCTTCCCTGAAGAGAAAAATAGGATTATTTTACTATTTCATGAAAAGACTTATTATGAGATTTTTTTTAAAATAGAAACTTTTATTGCCAATATGTGGCATGAAGTTAAGGCTCTAGATTCCCTCATGGCCAACTCCAAAGTTGAAATTCTGGACCTGGCTTAAGTTCTGGACCTGGTGGCTTAAAGATCACACCGGGTGCATGTGCATCCATGTCCAAAATCCTGAGGGGAGAATGGAGGAAATTGTAACATGCCTGTCCCCCCTTGGGGGATAAATTTCTCACTCCCCCTCCCCCCAGCTCACGTGCCCTATAGCAAAAAACTAAAAAGCAAAAAAACCTTGTAACCTGAGGCATAACTTCTTCTCTTTGTGTCCAGACTTATTTATTTTTTGAAGCTAAGGAAGGTACCAACTCTTAAATACCCACTTTGGGGATTATATTCTTTTTTGAATTATCATATGTGTGTTTGAATTATTATGTGTGTGTTTGCCAGAGAGAGAGAAACTCTCAGTGGGTTGGAGGCATCAGAGTTCCTTCTCCATCCCATTAGGATTTGGGGGACATATGCACATGTATCCAGCATGTTTCTCAAGCTGCCAGGTTGGCCATGTGGGATCTGGCTCCCTTAATCACTGAGCTGTGGGGCCAGGCCTAGGGTGGTATTCTTCTGGTTTGAATATGTATCTGCATTTTCTTAGTTTAGCCTGTATGATTCTGAAACCACATAAATAATAAGGGTATCATCTCCCTTCCATTACCTTAGATAATCAAGAATGAATTATACTAAAATTAGAAAAAGATAGTGATATACTACTTAAGCAATATGAACTCTGTTTAGATAGGGTTGTGTTTATGGAACAGATACAAGGGTTTAATCCTTTGTTTAATAATTGTATTGCCTTCCTAGTGATAAATAAACAGAACCTTTTTCCTTTTAAACATCTCGTTAAATGGTCTTATATTTGTTTTAAGATCAGAATAAGAAATAGCTTTTTGTACTACTGACTAATAACACTTAATTACATGTAAATTCTGATTTGTGCCTTTAAGAGTTAACTCTGATAATGGAATATTATAAAATATAATAAACTAACTAATATAGCTCTCTAATAGAAATATGTCAAATGTTGTAGTGGGATTTTTTAATGTAATACTTGTCTTGGTCTTGATGGATAATTTGGATTTACATTAATTCCAAGTGATTTCCAGCTAAGAATGCATGTAACATATTTGGGGTAGATATTTCATATAACATGAGCGTATGTGTTGGATGTTTGAAAAACACAGGCACAGGCAGTAGGGGTACTGGTGCATGATGCTGGAGTTCTGTGGAAAGGTTCTGGGTTTGTGTTGTGGGTCTACTAGATGTGAAGGGCATGCCATGGACACCAGCTGTGATCCTGACTAAGTGCAGAATCCTAGTGGGATTCTATCTTGTGCTTTTTTCCTTCTCTCTCTCTGTCTCATGAAGGATATAGATAAACTTAAATAAATTTGTGGGAAAAATTTAATGAAGAACTTGAAAAAATTAAGATGCGAAACTGAATGCAACAAAAATTAGTGTGGCAAAAAAATACGTTTTGGAAAATGAGATGTAGTTTCAAATTATTAGCATAGTTTCTGTGCTGTTATTCAGATTAAGGTGTTTTGGATAATTGAACCGTGATGTTGCTTACAGATTATGCAGGAACTCTTTTTATTTCCCCCTCAAGAGAGATTTTTGTGATAATGCCTTCTGCACTTGACAGAAAGAGAAAGTGAGAAATCACCCCTCGGAGGATGGCCGTGCTGCAGTCCCATCTCCTCCATTCTCCTCTTGGGATTTTGCACACGCACGCACGTGCAGCTGGCGTAAATTTTAATTCGCCAGGTCCAGGACTAGAACCATGGTTGACTATGTGGGAGTCCAGCAGCCATCTGCTGGTCCAGTGCAGAAACTCTTTTCAAAATGTTCAACCAGTACTATACTTTCCATTGTTTTCTTCTATTTTTTTTCAGACATTTTTTGTCATAGGGCATGTGTGCTCACTGGAGAGACAGAAAGATGGAGAGACATAAAGCGAGAAATCATAGCCATTCCACAGACCTTTCTCTTGGGCACAAACGTATATGCACTCAGCGTGAATTTCAAGTCACTGGGTCTGGGACATATACTGCGGTCAGCCATGTGGGCGTCCATTGACATAACCTTTATGCCATCTGCTGGTCCCTGTGTTTTTAATTTTAAACTCGTTTTTAATTCTGTGCAATGAAAAGAGTCAAATCACTTTAATGTAAGATATAGTTAAACTGTTTGGGATCTTGTATTATATCAGTAATCATTTAAGAATGACAGTGAAGAAATTGCCAGAGGATCAAATCAGTAATGCTCCCGGATATTAAAAAAAAAAATCTCAAGTTCAATTTTAATTTTCCACTAAAAAATAGAATGGCTAGGACTAGGCCGTAGTTTTACAGTTATGTGCCATATTAGGGAGCTGGATTCTACATAGCTGAGCACTATCTGAATCCTAGTCTTGGCAACTTATAAAACGTGCTCGATATGTGTGCACGCATGTACAATAATACCTACAGGATGGAGAAATGGAGTGCCATAATCATCTCCATTGGGGGTGCTTTCTCTTTCTCTCTTTTCCTCTAGTGAGTACATACACACTGGCAATAAAAAAAAAATGAGAGCCGTAATTATCTTACCTTAACTTTTACATTTATTATTTATTTATTTACTTTTTTTTTTTTTTGAGAGATTTTCACTGTAGGGCGCGTGCGCTCGCCAGACAGACAGAAACAGAGACAGAAAGCGAGAAATCACTCCCCAGGGGGGATGGTCACGCCGCAATCCCTTCTCCTCCATTCTCCTCTCGGGATCTTGGGCACGCACGCACATGCACCCGGCGTGAGTTTTAAGCCACCGGGTCCGGGACACGAACCGCTGTCGACTACTTGGGAGTCCAGCGACATAGCCATTACGCTAACTGCTGGTTCCCTTTATTTACTTATTTTTTTAAGAATTATTTTATTTAACATTATTTATTTATTCATTTTTTCACTTCAATTTGACCAGAGAGGGATTCAGTGAGAGAGCGAGATAGAGTGAGAAAGCAGGCCACCAGGTCCGGGATTCGAACCATGGCCAGCCATGTGGGAATCCAGTGCCTTTAACCACCACGCCACCTGCTGGCCCCATACTTTTACATTTATTGATATTAATGTCTTTTATGAGCTATACTGCTATAATTTTATGAAAAGTAGAAGATAGTGAATATTTTCTAAACAATACTTTTTTCTTTTAGAAAAAGGGAATAAAGAGTCAGGTATATCTGGTCTTCCTGTTGTTGTTATTACTATGTTATCTGTAAAATCACATCTCTTATGGTTGGTACCTGGTTGTGGGTGAGCTGTGGAGTTGCTAGGGTAGCTAGTATTAAAATGGGATTTAAAATTAATTTTTCTCTTGTAGAAGTAATACAGTGTCCAGTGTATGAAAAAAGCTATAAGTGTAAAGAAGAAAATAAAATGCATACGTAGTGCTGTAACTCAGAATGATTGCTGTTAGTATTATACTGTTAGTATTATCTAGTCTTTAGTAACCATTTCTGTTAGAGAAACTTTGCTTACACAGCAGGTGGATGTATTTGAATAGAATGTAAAGCTAATTTTTCTTACAGTGCTTTACTTTGGGGTAAAAGTAATGTTTTGAAGAAAAAAGGATAATTACAAGTTACAGTTAATGTTCTTGTGAATTAACAGAGACCGCCTTTCATGCCTCCGCCTATGGGAACCATGCCGCCTCCTCCGGGTATGATGTTTCCACCATGCCTCCTGTGACTGCTCCTGGTACTCCAGCATTGCCTCCTACTGAGGAGATATGGGTTGAAAATAAAACTCCAGATGGGAAGGTGAATTATAAATTATGTTTTAAGTTATTATTTTCTTGATGACAAAAGAATGAAACTTAAAAGTTGTGGCAGTATCTGTGTCAATTAAGAATGAGTCTTGAATGTAAGCAGGGTAGGATTCTAGGAAAAGATTACTAAATCTGGACTCATGTGCAGATGTAAGATTGCCTAGAACCCTAACATAAATTTACCTGTGATTCTAGAAACTTCCGTGTCGAATAATGTAACTCAGGCCCAAGACTACATCGTCTCCTTAGATAATTTGCTAGCAGGTCTCACAGAAGTCTGTATATAGTTGTACTCATGGTTAAAGCTATTACAGTGGAAGGATACAAAGCACAACAAGCAAAGGGGGAATGTACATGAGGCAAAGTCTGAAGGAAACTAACTATAAGATTCCAAGTTCTATTTCATTGGAATGACATAGGACATGTTTAATTCCTCCAGCGTGGAATAGTGACAACACATGTAAAGTAGTGTCTGCCAGGGAAGTTCACCTGAGCTTAAGAGTTGAGGGCTTTCATTGGGGACTGGTCATAGGTACCATTTGTCCAGCACATACCAAAACTCCAGACTCCCAGAGGAAAACATGTTCAGCATAAATTTCATTGTTTATATACTATTTAGGCCCAGCAAGCTATTCTATCAGTGAGGGAATAGTGACAACCCTTCTGAAATCCAAGTTTTCAGGCTTTAGCCAAGAGCTAACTTTGTAAGTAGAGTTTTCTAAGTATACTAGTGACAGGCCTGCTATACTAACTGGCTGCACAGAACACAGCATTGGTTTTCCTTTATGTGTGTGTGTGTTGCAAATAAGATGTGCTTATTATAGAAAATTGGGGAGGGGGTTACCTGTAGACATATATCAATAGCCTATTTTCATATACTTGGATTTCTAAGTTATTTTTGTACCTTTGGAGACAAATATAGTTGCATTATTGCTTTTCATAGTAATTGACAGATTCTGTGATACCTGTGATTTTGTTTCCTCTGTAGGTTTATTATTACAATGCTCGGACACGTGAATCTGCATGGACCAAGCCAGACGGAGTTAAGGTTATTCAACAATCAGAACTGACACCTATGCTTGCAGCCCAGGCGCAGGTTCAGGCCCAAGCGCAGGCACAAGCCCAGGCCCAGGCCCAAGCCCAGGCCCAGGCCCAAGCTCAGGCCCAGGCTCAAGCCCAAGCCCAGGCACAGGCTCAGGCCCAGGCCCAGGCCCAGGCCCAGGCCCAGGCCCAGGCCCAGGCCCAGGCTCAGGCTCAGGAGCACCGCCAAGCCCAGGCCCAGGCGCAAGCACAAGCACAAGCACAAGGAGTAGGACCTTCCACCCCTACGACCAGTGCAAGCACTGGCACAAGCACAAGGAGTAGGACCTTCCACCCCTACGACCAGTAGTCCAGCACCGGCAGTATCCACTTCAACACCATCATCCACCCCATCCTCTACTACTTCTACCACAACAACGGCCACTTCGGTTGCACAGACAGTATCAAGTGAGTACCAGTCAGCATGTACTACATTTACGGGTTAGAAATATAAAGAAATAGGGACTGCATTCCGGAATGATATTAGTGTTTTTGATACTACCCTTGATGCTATTTAAAGTATATTTTTGGTATTAAAATTTTTGAGTTAGAGGGCAAATACATTTACATTAATAGAAGAAATTATTTGCCCAGTTGCAGTTCAAGAAGCTATATTGGGGAAGTGCAGAGTTAGCCCATTGTAGAGCTGTGTTCTGTGGGGTTTGCAGAATGCGTGTACATTTCACCCCTACCTTATAGTTTCCAGTTTTTCTGTTTGAGGAAGCAAGAAAAATATATGTGAAACAATTAGAGAATATAGTACAAAAAATTATACAGTGAAAACAAAAGATCTAAGAATTTTAGAGACAGAGAGATGAATAGGTGGGCCACATGGATATTGAGGTTTATCCTGAAGGTTATGGGTTAGTGTTTACGTAGGTTTACAAGTCAGGAAAGAACTATCAGGCAGAAGGAATAGCATGAATCCAGATCAGGAAGTGAACATAAGGATAGCATTTGAGATTGTGATGAAACACTTCTGAGGTGAGAGGGTTTGTGTTGGCAAATAGATTGAGTCAGGTCATGAGGGGGCTTAAAAACTAGTCAGCAAAACAAAACAAAACCAGGCAGATGGGTGAAACAAGCACTAAGGGACTGGTATAAATGGAATATTGTGGAATACTGCTGATTTTTTGGTGTTGAAATGAGGCAGACTTTAGGAAGTTTCTGACTATCTCTTTTGGTGTGCTTAGGTCCTAGAATGGAATGCAAACAAGTAGGAGTTGTGCTAGAAGCAGTCACAATGGCAAGAGAATTTTTCGGTATAAAGTTAGAGGCACAGATGTTAGAGCTTTTCTAGAACAGTGAGAATTGGTTAATAGATTTCAAGGATGAAGCGAGGAGATGACCTGATTAAATTTGTTTAAAAGAATGTCAGGATCTCTACTGTTTATTTTCTGTTTGTTTGAATATGGATGTTGCTACCTACTCTGAAGGCTGAGCCTAGGCCCCAAAGTATTTAACTATTGATTTTATTGATTTGATTAATTGTTATACTCATCTGAAGATGAAAAGCTATTTCTACAGGTTTTACAGTTTGGATAGTAGATGAGAGTAAGGAAAAAAGCCCCTCATCCCCCTATTTCCCCGCTATGGCTTCAGGGACTTGGGAATTGAATGTATAAGAAATACATATGGGAGAAATATAGTCATAGTGGGGTCAAATTTGAATTTAATTTATTGATATAAGAAATAACTGAAGGGACCAGCAGTTAGCGTAATAGCTATGTCGCTGGACTCTCACGTAGTCGACTGCAGTTCGCGTCCCGGACCCAGTGGCTTAAAACTCACGCCGGGCACGTGTGCATGGGTTTCCAAGATCTCTAGAGGAGAACGGAGGACAAGGGATTGCGGCGTGGCCATCCCCCCTGGGGGGTGGTTTCTCGCTTTCTGTCTCTCTGTCTGTCTCTGTCTGTCTGGCGAGTACACGTGCCCTATAGCATAAACCTCTTTAAAAAAAAAAAAAACTGAAAAAGTAAGGTACATATGATATAGAGTCATTTCTTGAAAACCCTGCTGACTATTTTTTAGGCAGTTTGGTGAGGCGGGGAGTATTAAGTAGGAAAATGTTAATAGCGCTTTACATGTCTTTTTCTTTTGTGGCTAAAGCAAATTTTGATATGGAAGTATAATAATCATACTGACTAGCTGGTTGAGAGTCTACCTTTTTGTAGGCCTAGCACTCCTCAAACTTGGGTGGTAAGGTAGAAAGTTGCCAGTTTTTATGTGGTACCTATGGTGGTAGTGGGACAGTGTTTTAATAAAAGCTGTGGAGTTTTGTGTAGACTCTGTTGCTTAAATTTACTTCTCTGCTTTTTTAGGAAGGAGAAATAGTGGTGTGTGTACTTTATCTTGCTTTAAGGGAGGAAGGTAGATATTTTAACTATCCTTTATATGTCCCATTTCTGTATCAGAATGTAAGCTTTTAACTATCTTGTGATTATCAAGTAGTCTGTTAAAAACTCCCATTTGTCATTTTTTTACACTGTCCATCTGTGATTGGGAGGCCTTAATTCTAAAACCAAAACAGCAAAATCATGTTCTTCTTCCTGAGTATTCCTGATGTCTATGTTTATTTCTCTTGATTCAGTGACATAAAGTATCTTACTACAGTCTTAATATTTCCCTCTCTGTTATAAATAATCACTTGTTTTTATAGCTTAGAATCTGAGGCTGGATTAGTATGTTTGAGTCTCTTGTTTGACTTGTTACTTCAGCAAGTTGAATTAGTAGGAATTTACCTTCTGAAGTCTTAGATACCATTTTCCCAGTTTCCCATTTGATTTTTTTTTTAAATTACTTTTATCCATTTCCTTTCACAACTCATGGCTAATAAATTGAGAAATACTGTGCTGGAAAGTAAGTGGAATGGGTTGAGTGAATACTTTTTACTGTCCACATTGATGTTCCTTTCCACTTGAAATTTTATACCTTTTAACTTGTTTTACTTTCCTGACTATAGTACCTTGGATCATAATTTTAGTAATTATCCGAATACTATTATTATATTAAAATATTTAATTCTGTCCACTAAAGTATAGATTATGGGTAAATGGGACTAAAGATTAAAAGCATAAACTCACTTCACTTCTCAGTGAAGTTGGAAGAATGACTGGATATATTTTTCAGCCATTACAGTAGATAACAAATGCTAAATGGTGTATGTATGGGACTGGGCAAATGTTGCATGTAATTTGTATTTTTCACACTGTTATAAAATTATATTAATATGATACTGTACCCTAAGGCTAGGTCTATGCTAGACCAACAATTCATTCCTGGGCCCCTGAAGATACTTGTTTGGCCCTGCTGTCTATTTAGCCAAGGTGAGTCCCTCATTAACAAGTATGAAATTGCTCACATCTTCCCAGCCTAAGTGAGTTTTTCATTATTAGAAATTGAAAGGATAAAGGTTTTGTTGTCAGTTGAATTATTGGGTGGTTTAAATAGTGTGCTTTCACTTAAGATAAAATTGGCATAATAACTGGGAAAGCACTATTTTTATTTCATTTAATTTGACAAATTCATTCTTAGGCTAATACAGGTAGAATTTGACACTTTTTTTTCTTTACACCAAGAGAGATGAAGTATTTGTTACCAATGAATTAACAAAACGAGTTTTGTTTTGAAACTAGATGAGTTACAAATAAGTAACAAAAATGTTTTATAATATGTGAAAACCAGAATTTTTAAGAATGTATGAAATAATGGATTTCAGTTTATTTTTTTGAACAGTTTGGTTTTTAAGTGTGATTACCAGGCATGGTTTATTTTATTTTTTATATTTAAAAATAATAAATTAGAACACAAATTATTCTGAATTTCACATTCAACTGGTCTCTCACAGTGGAAACCTGTGTTTTTTGAACATTTTTAAAAATTTTGAAATAATTACAGAGAAACCTGAATTGTTTTCTAGTCCATATCCAGTCAGTCATTAGTTATTTGCATATCTTTCTCTCAGATCTTCCTTACTTGGACAATTCCAATAATGTAATTGATTTTTACACCTGTTTTTCCTTAATTCATGAAATGAACACTAATTATTACTCTTCTGTACAGAAACCTTTACTCTACCTCCTTTGTACCCCTTTTACCTTCATGAAATCACACAATATGTAAATGTATTCTTATAGAAAATTCAAACTCTTAACAGTATATATAGTGAAAAATGAAAGGCATACATGAAAGTAACTTTTGTTTATACTTTTGGTGTATAGTCTTCTTGAGCATTTGCTCTACTTTACAGAATTTACTACCTAGAAAATGGGATAGACTCCTTAGCAGACTTTTTAACCTTCTGTTCAGGCATTCTATTTTCTGCTTCTGGCCTGTTTGTGCAGTCATATAACTCACTGGTTTTGTTGGTATGCCTAGTGTTGCATTATTGACTGCTTCAGTATTCTAGACAGTTCCTTGTTCTCTACTCTTTTCCTGTACTCATACTTTTCCTATCAGTTGCTTATTTTCTCCTTTCATGTTTCCATTTTCCCTGTTGAAATCTTAAACTTTTCAAGGCTCAACATCCCCAGTATATAGTTTTCTGTACTTTGTCACAGCTACAGATGGTCTTTTGTTCTTAATTTATCCCTGTACATTTTATTTCATTTCACTTTGTATTTTAGTTATTTTTTATATATCATCTAAATGACTGTTTTTAAGCTTCTAGGAGACAGACATTTTGACAGATTTCTTGCAGTGCATGGACTGGGCCCTTAAATACATACTCAATTAGTGAATGATGAATGAATAGAGTAAAATGGTTTATGAAGGAGTGATACATGTTTTTGTTTTATCTTTTGTCAGCACCCACAACTCAAGATCAGACCCCAAGTTCTGCTGTTTCAGTAGCCACGCCTACAGTTAGTGTTTCAACTCCTGCTCCTACAGCCACACCTGTGCAAACCGTTCCCCAGCCGCACCCGCAGACGTTACCTCCCGCCGTTCCTCATTCAGTACCTCAGCCAGCTGCGGCAATACCTGCTTTTCCACCAGTCATGGTACCTCCATTTCGTGTTCCCCTTCCTGGCATGCCAATTCCACTTCCAGGTAAATCAATAGATTATTATGATTTTTCCAACTATGTTTTCATACTGTCAGTTAGTTTGTTCTCATGTGTCTGTTGCATTTGAAATTTGCCTTGAATCTCACCTGTTTGAAACGTTTTTGAAAGATTCATGGCTAACTGCAATATTTTCTCTTATGTTTTGGTAAATGTCCTTTCTGTTGTTGTTTACATGTCTTAAAATTAGAGCCACATTTAAAGCTACACTTATTTTGGATAATGACCTCAATGGATTAACACTGATCATATTTTTATGTAAATATGTTTTAAATGCAATATTTTAAAGGGACTGAGTATGATGGTCAGAAGTCACAAGTCATACTACTAGCTAACACAAGTTGAACGGTTTATGTGCAGTGCACTGTTTGAAGCACTTTATATGCAGTAACTAATTTTTCACAACTGTCTTATGGAGGTATGTACACGGATAGGTTAAATTGCTTGCCTGAGGTCACATGCTAATAAGTGATTGTCTTAGGATCTTAGCCTATGCCCTCCAGATCCAGATACCAAGTTTCTAATAACTATGTTATGCTGAGAAGAAAATGTAAGTCACTTAACTAAAAAATTCATATAAAACAAAAGCCAGAGTTTCCATTGTACCAATTGTGATATAAACTACAACATGCATCATTTAAAAGTTTAAATTGCTGTGATGAATTCATGTGTTTTATTGTCTTAGGAGAAATTAAGATTAGAGAAGGAATTAAATGATTGGAGTGGAGTTTTTCCAGTAGTTGAATGCATTTGCTGTTGCCAGACACATTTAATACTTGATCTGTGATCCATTCTTATAATTGAAAATATAGATGCTGTAGAGAGGTCAAGTTCACAGGGAAAGTTTGTGGTAAAAATGAGGAGAGCATAGGCCTTTTGTCTTTCAATTTCGTATTCTTCCCCCTACTATTGTCACTTTATTATACTAGTTTCTATGTAAGAATAGAGTTGTGATATATAGCCACTTCTTGGATTTACCTTTATCTTAGTTAACACTATTGCTCTAGTTTTCTTTTTCTTTGTGACTACTTTGAAAAGGATACTATCTGATACTATACCTTGGTGAGAAAGAAACCAAAAATTTCAAAAATTAATGTTTTGGGTTGTTTGGTGTATTGATTTGATAGGAAAATCTTTATGTACATTGTTGATGTAGTGTTAGGTAATTTTTTTTTTCTTTTTAGAGTTTTTTGCATTAGTGTGCATATGCTCGGCAGAGAGCGAGTGAGCGAGTGAGCGGCAGAGACAGTGAGAGGGAAAGTAAGAAACCATCCCCTGGGGGGATGGCCATGCTGCAGTCCCTTCATCTTGGGCATGCATGAACTTGTGCCCAGTATGATTTTCAAGCCATCGGATCTGGGACTCAAACTGCATTCAGTCCAGTGATCTAACCGCTACATCATATGCTGACTCTCAAGTGTTAGGTCATTAAATGCCCAATTTGTGATGTGTACAAAACTCAAACCATAAAAATAAACCAAAAATATTTTCTTCTAATACTAGGGACTGTTCCTTTTTTATATTTAAGACAGATTCTTTCCCCCGGGTATAATCGTAAGGAAAATTAAATGATAAATGGAGAATAGTTTGACTTTTGTCATAACCTCTTCTTGTAATCTTGTTCTGCTTTAGGATTTAAGGAAAATATTTAGACCAGATTTTGGATTCTGAATGATCTGAAGGAGCTGAGGTTGTAAATTCTTTGGAGAGGAGTCTGAGACATAGCATAATAATGTTGCTGAAGTATATTGATGGTCTTATCCATCATCTGAGAGGACTTTTGTTTCACTTTGACCAATGGTGAAAGGTACAGAGGAGCAGAACTTACAGTGGAACTTGGTCACAGAATCTCTGTAGATGTAGCTGCATTTAAATGTCATGGTCTCCCCTGATCCTTACCCATTCATTAAAAAATTTAGAACAGATGAGGGTAAACATTTGGGTAACCAAATGAGGATAGTGCTTAAGAAGTTTGGCAGTAAAAAGCATTTAACAAATAGTAGCCACTAATGGTTATTTTGTAAGTCATTTGAAAGAAACCTTAAATTGGATAGTCTAAGATTTTATCTAGGTTACCATGAGTCTTTGGAGAGTTACCATGAGTCTTTGGAGAGGGAGTTCGAGTCTTATAGAAAGTGATATTAACAATTTATTAGTATGACCAGCAGTAGTGGTTAAGGTGCTGAACTCCCACATGAGTGACCGTGATTTGAGTCCCAGACCTGGCAACTTGAAATTCACGCTGTGTGTGCATGCCCAAAAATCCCGGGAGGAAGATGGAGAAGAGGGATTGTGGAGTAGCCATCCCCCTGGGGGGTGATTTCTCACTTTCTCTTTCTCTATCTCTCTCTGTCTCTCCAGTGAGTGTATGTGCTCTACAGCAAAAATCTCTCAGAAAAACTCTTTTTGTTTATGTATTAAGTATTAAGGCATTTCTGGTATTCATTTATTTTTCTCATTTTTCTTTTTAATTAGGTTCTGCAAGGTGTTTTAGTGAAAAGAAAAAGACATTTTTTTCCTCTCCAAATCTTTGGTTTTATGTACAGTGAGATCTCTGTCTTCCTCTATCTGTCTTGCTCACTCTGTTTTCACTCTTATTTCAACCAAGCAGTAAGGTAAACAGGAGGGATTTATATGTGTTTATCTTGGCTCCTTAAATTTTGTTTGAAATAGTATTGTATGGTTCTAATGAGAATGATTATGGAAGTCAAACAAAATGAA